TAGCCTGTAGACCAACAAAAGCAAATGATCCTCAACCACCCTAGGCGTCCATGTACTCAAAGAGTATACACGTTGGCCTGAAAGTAGTCACCATGTAGGTACTTTGGGGCCCAACTCTATAATATTTCGGTACATGGACCCTTAGGGTCAACTGGAAAGCACCACAAGCCCGGTAATCTGCTGAAAACCTAGAGCCCTGACACTGACACCCACCCTCAACATCTCCACGCATCTCCCAGGGGCCTCAAGTACCCAATAAGCACATACTCGAATTTGTACCTACCTATAGTCTCCATTGTAGTTCCTGTTTTTGGTTGACCAAATTTATATTGTAGGATGCCAACCATAAAATTGGTTAACCAAAAACGGAACTACAAGGGAGACTACAGGTAGCATATGAAGCAGTTACGACCATCTCATGTATCTACTTATACTGCGTACTTTGGACCTTTATAAGGCACAAGCCCTAAGCCCTACTCCGTAAACCCAGCATCACTCCAACTTTTGCCCGGTGTCCAGCGTCAATCAAGGTTTGCGTGTACTGCTCGGCCACCTTCCGCCCGAAGCCCCGAAGCGGTGGCTTGGGGTTGAACGGTTTCGGGATTTACGGTTTAGGTTTAAATACATAGGATCTAGGGTTTAGGGTTTAGAATTTAGAGGGTTTAGGGTATCGGGCTCAGGGTTAAGATGATACTCGCGTCCAGGGTTGCTACTACTACTACTACTACTACTACTACTACTACTACTACTGCTACTATGATGCTACTGCAACCACTGCTACGACTACTACGGCAACAGCGACCACAGGTTATCCTGTTAAGTCGCAGTTTAAGCGGGCTAGGCTAAACTCGGTTTGACAGTCGGCTCGAGACAATGTTCGTCGTCCTAGATTGGCCAGGAGCCATCCTGTGCGTGTAGCAGTCGCCCAGGTGTTTTGTTTGTCTGTGTGCCGGTGGCTGGGGCGTCTGCATGTGGGAAGCTGCAGGCTACCGGTACCATCCTAAACCCTAAACCCTAAACCCTAAACCCTAAAAACCCTAAACCCTACACCATTAGTGGCGCTGGGCCGAACCCAAGATCAGCCGTCCCGGGCACCTCTTACGGAGCAGAAGCCGCGTAGTTAGGCACTTTGCCAAGATCAAGGTCCCTTACAACATCAGGGTTTAGGGTTTAGGGTTTAGGGTTTAGGGTTCGATGACAGCCAGCTTCCTTTTAGTGCAATCCTCGCTTCCGGATCCAAAAACCCGAACTCGTCACGAAACATGTTTTCTTCAACACCGCCTCTTCGGTAGCACGCCTGCCACCCTTAGGCCCCAAAAGCCCCCGAAAGGGCCCTAGCAGGCTTGTCATGGCGCCTCCGTCTCGTTCTGCTCCTCGCCACCTTCCGCTTCGGATTTCGCCCCTGCCGATTGCACGTCCTCCGGCAGCACCCCGTCCTCGGGTAAGAGGTTAGCAGGGGTTTAGGCGTCAGGGTTTAAGGGTAACACATTGAGGGTTGGAGGGCTCAGGGGGCTCAGCGTTGTGCCATTTAGGGTTTCGAATTGAGGGCTTAGAAACTACCACGGCAACGACCCGGTCAGTTTAGCACAGGCGAGGGACTTCCCTTGCTCCTTAAGCCTTTGAGAGGGACACCCGAGATCCGACTTGCCCAGAAATCTCGAGTAAAGCTAACGTCATGAAGACACGCGAAGACCGTCAGAAAGCTACAATGGCACTCCGGCCTGATACCTGAAACCCTAGGTATAGGCCCTAAACCGTGAACCTTACACTATAGACCCTAAACTATAACTCCTAAAGCAGCGAAGCCGAAGAACCTGGAATCCAGGTGTTGTTGGTACTGCCCCCATAAAGTAACAGTCTATAACAAGGGCACCACTAAAGGCCTTAAGGGTTTAGGGTTTAGGGGTATCTATATTCGACGTTAACCAGCTGTTACTGAGTGCGGGCAATATCCAGGCCAGGAGTCTTCCAGGAACAGGACAGGGAGCATGGTGTTTAGGTGTTCTCAAAGAGCTCAACACTGCATAACACTGCTCAAATACGGAATATTCCTCACCACGTCATGCGCGACACTATAGAATCAACAAGCACGTTAAACCGTTTTATTTTCTAAACCATAATCCCTAAACCCTAGACTCTGCAGCGTAGCGACGGCTCTTTGGTCGGGTTCGACCTCCGCTGGGTCTGCCACGGTGCCTACGCTGGTAAGAGACGGGGCTCAGGGGACGACGAACCCGTAACAACAGTAGTAATACCAATAGTGATAATAATAAATACTAGTAGTAGTAATACTTAGTAATCATAACAGTAATACAGCTAACAATACTAGTCATACATTGCTGAAAGAAACAAAAGCATGATGCATCATGATCATAACCATTTGGGTCCAAGCACGTCGAGTTTGGGGAGCCTCGCTTCGAAGCATGAGGCCCTTTGGGCCTTTGGGTGAATAATGCAGGTAGTTAGAATCGGGTTTGGGGGTATGTTCTACAATAATTTAATGAGGACCCCCAAAAATTGCTATCTTGCTTGCGGACGTCTGAGCAAAATAGTATAGGTAATTATTTAGGCCCCTACAGTAGGAGCTGCCGGTTTCTGACTCGGGGCTCACAAGCTTTCGGCTTTCGGCTTCGGAGCTCGGGGGTGGAGCTTCCGGTTTCGGGGCTTGGCAAGTGGGGTTTTGGGGTGCAGGGGTTTAGGGTTTAGAGTTTCGGGTGCGGTGTAGGGTTTCAGGTGTAGGGGTTTAGGGTTCAGGGTTCAGGGTTTAGGGTATAGGGTTTAGGGTTTAGGGTTTAAGGGTTTTGGGCTTAAGGTTGGTATTTCGGGTTTGGGGATTGGGTTTTCGTGTCTAGGGTTCAGGGTTTGAGGGCCAGGTACATTTCTCCGGTACAAATATGCAGGGAAGAGTTGCATGTCAACTCTAATAGGTTCAGGAATATCGATTCTTCCATCCTTTTGGAAGGGGCAGGGTCCACCGAACCTGGGACGACGGTCATGATATCCGAGATGAGCCGCTGCTCCTGTCGGGTTTGGGATTTTGAGCTTGGGGTGGCGGTTTTGGGTTTTTGAGACCCTAAACCCTGAACCCTAAACCTCAAAAAAGCAGTCCCAAAGTCCGAGACGCAGAAGCACAAAGAGAGCCGAAACTTCTGAGCTTCATGGCCTCACCAAAAGGCGGCGAAAGTCTCAAAACCGGCACGTCCTCTTCGTCAAAGTGCATAATGTCAGATTCGATCTGATCTTGCCCGCCTGACAGCAAATGTCCAACTCGGTGTCACTTGCGGTTCTTGCTGCATTTCCCAGGTCCTCCTCAGTTACACCATCTGCAGCATCATCAGCAGCAGCCCACTACGTTATCCTCGCCATCGGCAACAACACCATCATCGCCAGCACAACCGCGCTGTTCCTTATGGAACCCTCGTAGCATCCTTTATATAGCAAGCCGTGAGCCAATCATCAGCAGGGTCTCTGTTTCTGCCACCGTCACGACGATCACCATCGCCATCAGCAGCATCAATGTCAAACCCTCTTCGCCCCCTGAACCGTAAACCCTAAACCCTAAACCCTAAACCCTAATGCCTAAGCCCTGAACCCTAAACCCTCTTCGCCCCCAGACCAGCCTATCTCAGGGCCTCTCTCGTCAGCCTCGTCCTGCCTCGAAGCAGTTGGGATCAAGGTACTCGTGGGCAACCAACTCTCGGTGTTTCTTCGTTGCGAATATACCAGTATGGTAGAAGATGGAGAACAACAAGAGCCAACATGATCGAGCAGTTATATTGCTTTGTGCAGCTCAATGAGCTATCCAGCCAACGCAAGAAGTAGAATGAAGAATGCGTAGATGGACAATAACCAATGGAAGCTATGGGATGAAAGAACAAGCAAAACACAGCGGAGAGCACAAGTTGGGCCGTCGAATCTGGCAAGAGTTGCAATACAAACATACCAGACGTATGCATCAGTACTCTGGCTTTTGCGGTCACCATGACCGGTGAGACCTTTAGGAAACACTTTGATCACAAAAACGACAGTCATGGACAAAATGTACGCCAGCTTCTATGCGTTGAAAAAAGTACGTCCAAAGGTTTTACTTCCTGCTGCCTAGTAAAGCCCCCAGCACCGCTTGGCCCTGCACCGCGGCATGACTAGTATTCCACAATCCGAAGGAGCATTCACAGAATAAAGCACTCGAAGCCTTCATCAGATGGCAGGAGAACGTAGCTTTCGAAAAAGCCACGGCTGCATGCGACGACTAAGAACACCGCAAGGGTCCTAAGAGTCTAATCGCTGGAATGCGACGGGAAGGGTGTAGGCTGGCCAAAATTCATGTCGGCTGCACGCACGAGGCAGCGCCCACGCGCCAGCGCTCGCCCGACATCCGAACGGGTTTGGCTATCGGATAACCCACAAGCCCAGGATACAGCACTGCCATCAAAACCCCCTAACCGGACACATTCGACCGGTTTAGGATGGTTTAGGTGCGTTCGTGTTGCTTTTTAGTGTTTTCAGAGCCCTGCTCGAATGCGAAGGCTTGACGAGAAGCAGGTGAAAAACGGACACAACAAGGCCGCACGGAACTCGCTCTGTGTTTCTCCAAGGCATGTCATTGACCGAGTTAGACCTAAGCCCAGAACCTTGCGCAAGTGGGCAGGTAGACTGTAGGCTAACAAATCAGAATATCAAATATAATACAATATGATGTGACATAGTCGAATAGCTTTCCGGGGGCTCGCTTGGCTTTCAGGGATTTGGATCTGGAGGTGTACTGCCACAACGCAGACAAGGTCAGAGCATTGCAGCCTTTGGTGCACAGGTGTTCCAGTGAAGAAACCCAGCGGGACTTGGTCGTTCGGGGCTCAGGTTCTAGGGTCTCAACCCAACCCTAAACTCTAAACCCTGAACCCTAAACCCTAAACCCTAAACCCTAAACCCCTATCGCTAAGAGGGCTCAGACTTTCCTGGGCCCAGATCTGCCGTTTCGAACGACGCACCAAGTCCGAACACCTCCCCCCCCAAAGTCCGAAAGTCCGTCGCAGACTTTCCGAAGACGTTAACCGTTGTGGGACTTTGCCCAGACAGCTCAAGGAAAAGATGAGCCTTCGTGAACATAACGGATGAGATTGAGAAGATCTGGTCTTGACCTTGTCCATTCAACTTGTCTAATCTTGTCTACTAGGCGCGGCCACGGATGAAGTGCGAGGCTGCAGACCAGATCCACTCTGTCTGGCCTGTCGTTTAGCTTCTACCGCATGCGAACCTTTCCTGCAATCGGGGGCTTGTGAAAATTCGGAACCCGTAACTACACGGTTTTTTGAGGTTTTGCACGCAGGGTCCCTGATTTTCGGTAGCTCCCCAAACCCACTTGCAAGACTCTCAGAGATCCCGGTCCTCGCGCATCAGAGCACTGTTGCTACTCTACTGGTGCCGCATGTACCCAAACAACTCTAGCAACCTCGAGACGCATCATCATGACCCCAATCGGCTTAGGGTTGAGGGTTTAGGGTTTAGGGTTTAGGGTTTAGGGTTTAGGGTCACGATAGGAACACATTTCGCAATCAACTCTCTACACTCCTAGATCAATGCATCGGATCTCGATCTCCTCTGAGTCAGAAGGACCAACAGGCCCAGAGGCCTGCCACGACCCCCATGGCCCCGCCAAGCGCAGACTCCACCGCCTCCGATTCCCAGATCCTTATTTCTGGCTTGAATGGGTTCTCGCAGCTCCAGGGGATGCCGGAAGCCCATTTTTTACGTTACTTGGGGTCACTCCTGTGCTCGTCATCTCAGACTTGCGCGCGTTACCCTAGGATATCGAAGACCCGAAGCAGAACTCGGACCTCTTCGGCACCCCCCACTCCAATCCTTCGGGTGGTGCTGCTGGAATGTGGCCCAACCCTTGCGATCAAACCCCCGCAGAGCCCCGGTGACAGCATCTAAAAGAACGGCTCGGAGCCTAAACCCTCCTAAACCCGAAACCCTAAACCCCAAATGAACCCTGAACCCTAAACCCTAAACCCTAAACCCCAAACCCTGAACCCTAAACCCTACACCCTCCTAAACCCTAAACCCTAAACCCCAAACCCTAAACCCTAAACCCTACACCCTCCTAAACCCTAAACCCTAAACCCCAAACCCTAAACCCTAAATACATTCGAGGCAGTCGGAGATGCTCAGTTGGATTCCCGCCAGGCTTCTTTCGATCCCAGAGTTGCTGAAGCAGCTCCTCCAGGTAATCCATCTTGGCCCAGTCTGTGGTCCTTCCAGGACTTGCTCGCTGACACGTTCTATCTATATATCTATCTGCTTATATATATCTATATATCTATAAACATATATATATATATATATGTATATACATGTGCGCATATATATATATATATATGTAGATAGTATATACGGTATATGTAGTGTATATACATGTATGTATGCGTACACTATATCAAAATCAGCGGAGCTTCGCACGGCAGTGCTGCAGCGGCTGCCCCCCCCCCTCCCCCCCCATGCATGCGGCTTCGCCTACTTATAGGTCCATGATGCTATCAACGAAGGCTGTCGGCATATCATAGTATGACAAATCTAGGGACTTTAGAGAGTAATAGCTATACTATGCCTCATCCTTTAGAGGTCTATTTACAGTCTAACTTCATAAGACAGCGATACTTTGCCTAATCCTGCCGACCCTAAACCCTAAACCCTGAACCCTAATCCAGAAAACTCTAAACCCTGAGCCCTATACCGTAATCCACAAAACCCTGATCCCCAAACCCTGAACCCTAAACCCTAAATCTTGATCCCCAAACCCTAAACCCTGATCCCCAAACACTTCCCCAAACCCTGAACCCTGATCCACAAAACCCCCTATGGCCTCTGCTCGGCGAGTCGCTCTTGGCACGCGAAGGACTCCGAGCCGCTCAGTCGGAGGCCTTGGGTTCCAGAAGGCTACGAGCAGAGTGCGGCGAGCCCTAAACGGGGTTGAGGGGTTTAGCAAAGTTCCGGGGTTACCGTTTAGGGGTTTAGCAAAGTTTAGGGGTTTAGGGGTTTAGAAAAGTTTCGGGGTTTAGGGTTTAGGGGTTTAGCAAAGTCTAGAGAGTTTAGGGTTGAGGGCGTGCCACGAGGCTACCAAGAGGGCCAATGGAAGGCTTCTAAAGAGGCCCTGATAAGGCTACTATGACGGCGCCATAAAGTGTACTACAAGGCTACTTTAAGGCCACCAGAAGAGCACTACAAGGCTACCATCAGGGTATGAGGGGGGGAGGGTATGCTATGGGCTATGGTAGTCTAGTACGTGACGGTAAACTATGGTATAGTTAGTGAAGTTCTTCAAGTGGTATGAAACAAAAAGGGACTAGAAGAACATTATAGCATAATTGCATACATGGCAGAGGCTGTCAGGCTGGGCGTCTGGGGCATCCGTCTGTCGATGCTTTTGCCAAGAGGGTCACCGTTAGGTTTCAAAAGGTCAGGGACATGAAAGGGAACAAAGAAAGGGCCAAACACCCTAGGCAGACATCCTCTGAACCTCTTGGTAGCGTCAGCAGAGCCCGACAACTCTTGCAGAGTCCTCATATATGCTCTTTGAGGTTGAAATATTTAGAGCTCGAAAAACGCTGCTGGATGACATAAACTGATAGCTGATAGCATGAAGAATAAGGAACATCAAGCTAGACGAGCCAACCATCAGCTCTTCTTGACGGACATTCCCGCATCCGGCCGAGACGCAAGGCAAAGCAGCGGAAACCATGTGGCTGCCTTCGCTGAAGTCGGAGACGGTCTTGAAACCCGACAGCCTAAACATCGTGGCCGTAACATGGAACCAAGTCTTCATACCTCCATCCTCACCGCAACAGGAGCTGCTACACTGGAAGAAGCCCTGGAATTTCCTGCAGAGCAAGGAAACAGGCCTTCCTCCCAAAGACCCCTGGGCACTCGTACCTGGCGAAAGGTCGTCGTCACTGCTGTTGGCCTCCGGCTTTTCCTCATCATCCCCATCTCTGGGTCAGACAACTGGGGCTTTGGGGTGAGCGACTTTTGACTTCACATTCTGCATCCCCGTCATGTCGAGGATTGATTGGACTACCAGCAGAATGTGTCGCGGTAAGGCAGGTAAGAAGTGCAGCAGCAGGGCATCTTCAGGAAGTGTTCTTCTCTAACCAGCGCCTGGCAACTTACCTGCCAAGCAGAGTGTCCTGGAGGTGTGGGGCGGCGAAGGTCGTGGTCAGCGCCGCGAACACATCGTCTTCCGGGGCTGTGGCTGGCACCTCCTCGAACAGACATCTTTGGATTCGGGGAACAGGTACAGGTGCAGAAAAAACAATGACGACAGGTAGCTCCTAAAAAATAACCGCCAACGACGACGACGCCAGCAGATGCCGCTGTTGCTGCCGATGCTCATGCTCCCACTCCTGCTGATGCTCCTACCGCTAGTCCTGACTCCTGCTCCGGCTCCAATCTGCTCCAGTCTCACTAGAAGTTTTTCACGGAGCATGCTATGTTCCTTCACATGTGGCCACGACCAATCACAACAGTACGACTCGGACTCGGAAACAAGCGTCGTTGGACAGTCATTGGACAGCCACGAGAAGAAAAGAAAAAGCCTCTAATATAAGCCTTACTAATTAGAATAAGGTTTGGGGTATGTTGCACTATAATTATAATAAGAAACCCCCCAAAAAACCCTATTCGAACTATAAAGTCCCCTAGATTCGACTCTTTAGCGACTCCCAGGCTCGCGCCTGCGGCGCTTGGGGGCGGCTGGGCGCCTTGGGCGGTGCCCGGGGCGGCGCCTTCGGCGGGGCCTCGGCTGTTCGGCGGTTCCACGCCCCCGGCGCAGAACCTAAACCCTAAACCCTAAACCCTAAGCCCAAGCCCCCAGTGCAGAGGAGCTCAGGAACGGGCCCAGAACAGAAATTCATTCCGGATGTCGCCCAGTTGCTGGAGCTTGGGGCGGCGGCGGTGACCGCAAAGCTTTCGCGTCGGGCCCACTTGCAGGTGGGTTCGCTGCCTTGGTCGGCTTTTTCTCGAGCTGGAGGCTTTCGGGACTTCTTCCGTCTTATCACACAGATTAGAGGAAATTAGAAGAACATGGAAGAACCAAAGAATTCAAAACACTCGAAACAAGATGAGAGCTTGGGAAAAGGACGTAAGCTGACAAATCGCCTCTGGACGAGACGACTCGACCACGCGAGGCTTTTCCTCATTCGGCGGCTGGCTTGGCACTTCCGGCTGGCCAGCTTCACCACCATGAGAGCTGGAAGTGGCGGGTGCTTTCGCAGCCGACTCACCTCTCGTTCTGGCAGCTTGCTTGACAGGCTCCTTGGGCTTTGCAGCTTTGCTCGGCTTGTCAGCCTCAGGAGGCGGTGCCTCTGCTTCCAGCTGGTCCGTGGCCCTTTCCCGCACTGCTCGCTCACCCGCGCTCGCGGTCTCCCTGGCTGGCGGCTTCTCCTTCGTGCTCCCGGCAATAGGGCCTAGACTCTTCGCCAGGGGACCCTCCTTGGACTCTACGCTCTTGGACGGGGTGGGCCCTGGCTGGCTCACGGCCTTGGGCTCGGGACTAGCCCGGCGACTCTGTGGCGTGGGCTCTCGCGGCTCTGCCGGAGGCGTCGGTGACTGGCTCGGCCTCACTTCCGGTTCCGGTGCAGGGCCAACTGCTGCTCCTGACCTCCCTGCGTCACGTGATGTCTGCGGCTCCACTTCCGGGACTTTCGCATCCATCAGCACCTCGGCGAAACTCGACAGCGCAAGTGCAAAGTTCACAAACACGAGGACGGCAAGGCACCTCTTCCGCCTTCTTCTTCTTCGGACCCTGCAGGTGCGGGCCACTTTCGGCTGGCATATCCACCTCGAAAAAAAAAACAAACGAGCTGCCAAGAGCAGACTTGCCCCACTTCGCCAGGGCCCCGGCCTGAACAGGGGCCTCCCTTTGCAGGAAGCCCTGCGCGCGTAGAGCATCCGCGACGTCGGGAGCAGGCGCGTCAGCGTCCTCGCGCCAGTCTGCCTCCAAGGTTTCCATCGGGAATATCGAGGAGGGAAAGGATTCCAGGATGGAGGCAGGAGGAGGTAGCGAGAAGAAAAGCGCTGCTCTTGGCAATCATCCCCCAAACCCAGACCTTCCGATATCCCTTAATTAAGGAATAGACCTTCAATCATACGAGGGATCCTGCTAAGATTTAAGGTCTATTCCTTTAACTTTAAGGGATACTGCAAGATCCCCCAAAAAAAAAACCTGAAAAAAACGCCCCGGATCTTCGCCTCCCAGAGCACCAGCACGGCCCCAAGGACCACCAGCAGGCGCAGCAAACCCGAGGCGGCCCGGCTCCAGTGGCGTGGGGGGGGCGCCCAGTCGTCTGAGGCAGGCACGAAGTAGGGTTTAGGGTTTAGG